CATTCATCTCTGTTGCCTGTTCAGTGTAATTTTAAATTTATAAAAAAAAGGCGTTATTCTGATGTTTAACACGAGTTTAATCGATTATTTTATAAATCGATGACAAATTGCTGTCAGAATCCTTTTTCTCAAAAATTGACTAAGTCTGAAAGTACTAAGAAATACGCTTTTTTTAAACCCTCAAACATTAAAAATGAAACGTCCTCGCGCCCTGTAAAAATATTATTGATGAACAAGATCGTTAGTAAATCGTACGTAACGCAAGTTTGTATATCATGGTGAGTAAGAGGCATATACTGAACTACCTATCTGTTCGTTAAAATCCGGGGTTTAATTCCCCGCGGTGGATAGCCAGCCCACTGTATAACTTTGTGCTAAAACAAAGGATCCTATTACTCTAATACACTAAAACAGTGCGAATATGAATTATTGAGGTAAACCTTAATGTATTTGGAATGTTCTTGGTTTTGGTGGTTACACAACTTTAAACAACTGTTTTGGTTCGTTTTTTTTTTTTTTCTAGAGCAAAGCTACACATTAGGCTATATGCGCTCCGCCGGAGTAGCAAACCCCGAATTTTAGTGTTGTAAGACTAAGCTTACCGCTAAGTCACTAGGAAACACTTTAGTTTAATTAATGTTAAAGGTCGCAACATGTGTCTTTATTTAGAAGATCAAACACATTTTTGTCAAAAAAAGATTATCTTATTGGGGACACGAGGATAATTTTATTTTTATCCTTCAAATATTGTTGTGTTTTACGTGTCTAGTGCCTAAAACTGGCGCCTCTAGTGTTCATTTTATGTCTTCAAGTTAGTTAGTTGTTTAATTTGTTGTTTGTTTCAAAGTAAACCAACATTGGAATATTTGCTGTGTTCGCCGTGAGGAATCGAACCCCGGGTTTTAGCATCCGTAATCTTACCGCCGTCCCACTAGGGGTCTCCACGTTAATTACAGTTGCTAGTAATTGTTCTTGTGACATGTGCAAAATATTTATGTAATAGAGTATTCATTAGACTACAAAAGTATATTGTTCAGATCAATGTTTTTTTGCATTTCTATTAGCAACTCGCGCCATTGGTTAAACCAAGATTTTCATCCTCCTATACAGACCGATTTGAAGCCAGTTTTTAAACAATAACTTATCAACCGTAATGACCACAATTAACACTGTATCTCTTGCAACCGAAGGTGGACGGGGGTTATCCTTTCACCCCTGTGAATGTTTATAAACGAAAGTTAGCATACATTTCAACTTATTTACTCAACTTAGAAGTTATTAGTTTTTTTGGAAGGTCAAAGTCACGACCCCCCCCCCCCAAATCCCTATCTGTTACCATGGAGATCGATGTTTCACACTATTTTTGCTCTATAACTCAGTAAAAAATAACCGGATTTTGATGAAACTTAGTGAAACTTTAGAATGTGTATGCTAAAGCTAACATACAACTTTGAGAGTTAGATGTGTGTCATTCAATGCTGTTTAAACCTCCCTAATTTACATAATAATCTGGTTGATAATTTTGAACTTCTAAATCGGATTTCATTCACTTATTAAGTAAACTTCAACAAGAAAAACATGAACATCATGAATATGTACATAAAAGTATATAAATCATAAGACATTTTGCTTTGATGTATATTTGACAAGTTAAACGTTATTATAAGAAAATTCCATTTAACCAATAAAATATAAACTACCCTCAGTTACTTTGAAAGATGGTGGTCGTAATTTCCGTCATAAATCTTTGGGTTCGATGAATACTCACTTAAAAAAAAAAAGGCGAGACAGTTACACAATTATTGGAAGGTGCTGCCACGTACTGGTAGGAACGCAAACCAAAAACAATACTACAAATAATCCCATGAGCTCTTGAAGGATCTATTTCATAGTTGTAGCCTACATGTTTAATAAGCTTTTCCGGAATACTAACTACATTTTATACAATATTAAATACGTAACTTTTTAGATTCAGATAAATTACATTTACGGTGTCAAAAATACTCATTTCTTCAACCCAACAAAATGAAAATATGTTAGTAAGCACAATATGTTCATGACAACTGCACCTTATTCTTGGGTAAAACCCTCAATAATGTGCAACTTATTCTTGGGTCGTGTGATCTGATTATCCTATTCTTGGGTCGTGTGATCTGATTATCCTACTAGTTAGGGTTAACTTATTCTTGGGTCGTGTGATCTGATTTTCCTACTAGTTAGAGTTTTGGTCTTGCTGAGATCCAATTTTTGTTTACGAAAAAACATATTCAAACTCTTCTGGTTCTACTTGAAGTATTTCTAAATATATCTTCTTGGAATGGCCAACAAACCTCTAGTTTTCCTGTAGCTTGAGAATCTTCCACCCCATCTGCCAATTTAAATTTATTAAACTTGTAGAATTTTTCCCCGATTTCCCGCCGTTATGTTTTTACTGAGACAGTTGGGATTGATCTTCCATGGTATCCTTTTCCTCGTCTTATGAACATGCCCAATTCTGTTCCACGTCACCTTTTAACTCATTATTCAAATTCACCAATAACAAATCATCTCTCATGACTTCAAAATTGGCCTTTTGAAAATTAGGAACTAAAATTTAATTTATTTTAACATTAACATGCAGCCAAACATCAAACCTAACTAAGATCTGTGGATCTATTGTTCATATCCCATTACCGAACCCCCCCCCCCAAAAAAAAAATCGCATTCTGCTCTTTGAGGCAATGAATGCGTTGTAAAGGTGAAAGTCAAAACTTACTATTCGGTTTGATAAGAGTTGAAAGTCGTTGCTATTGACTAATCCTTCCCTCTAGTCTATCAATCCAAAATCAGAGATGTCTAGCGCAGATAGCCCTCGAGTAGATTTGTGCTAATACTTGAAAAGTAACCAAACCTAATATGCTACGATCACTCGTCTACAAATGTTCCCCCAATTCTATTCTTGCAACCACACACTCATTACTGGTTAAAAAATAAATCTAAAATGGCATCCCTTCTGTTTGGCTCTCTGACTATTTGGTATACAAAACCATTCTGTGTCACTTCAAGAAACTATTTGTCTTCATACAATTCCAATCAATGTATTTAAAATTCAAGTATCCCATAATTATTGACTTCGTATCCTGTTGGCAACCCCGATTTCATTATACAATCCTCATTTAAATCAACTCTCTCTGATGAGGTGGCCTATAAGAATTGCTAATTAAAAAATATTCTAACCTTGAAATTCCCGATGTGACCCGCATAAATTCATCCTCTTGACTACCAATTTTTTATGTCTTCATGTAGTCCCAAAAGACTGTAGGTCATCACTTATATAAAGAAACATCCAAGCCCCTCTTTTGAAAACTCTATCGCTGTTAAATTACTTATTACTTAGAATTTCAAAAAAAAATGTTTACTATTATCAATGTTCTGCAGAACTCTTAATATTAGAATAATATTAATAGCAACTTTTTTTCAGATATTAAAAGTCACATAGGTCGCACATAGAAGCAACGAGTTAATAAAAGATTTCATTGGTGGATGTTTGTATGATGCGAAGAAAAACTTATTGGTCATCTTCACTCATGAAGAGGAAAGGTCTTCCTTATGGAAGGGCACTGGTTTATAAGAAGTACATACTACAATCTAACTTAGCTCGTCCTGACGTTATGCCAGTACTAAACTCACTGAATAAGCTAATAATTATTTAACGTACTTAACATTAACTACCACAAAACTTTTAACTAATGTTAAGTCCCTGAAAGACAGAATATAATTATTACTAAACGTGTCTAACAATCACTATCATGAAATAACAATAAATTCGAGGCTCCATATGCCACGTTTGTGTTGTTTTATTGTTAAGAACAAAACTACACAATGGGCTATCTGTGATGTGCCCACCGGCAGTATCGAAAACCGATTTTTAGTATGATAAGCCCTCCGATTTGTCGTTGAACCACAGGGCCTTGGTGGTAAGATTATGCACGTTCAATCATACTGTTATCTAGTTTTTAAAACTATTATTATTATTAGAAATAGCTTATACTAAAATTCTTAGAACGTATCTCAGTTACACAAATGCTATCAGAACTTGCAATTAAAAAACAAGTTTTTCTTACAGAAAACATACCGCTAGTGGCACAGCGGTATGTCTGCGGACTTACAACGCTAGAATCCGGGTTTCGATACCCGTGGTGGGCAGAGCACAGATAACCGATTGTGTAGCTTTGTGCTTAATTACAAACAAACAAACAAATATATGACATCATAGCCTCATTATTACTCTCTTCAAATATTGCACAAAAACACACGTTTCCATGACTCGCGTAAATGATATATCCTTCTTGGAATTATCAGGATATATCATTTCACCTAATATCATGTGATTCCAGTAATGTTAAACTTTAATAATTTGGCAAAACAATCAAAGCTAATTACGATTTTTATTTAGTGAAGTCCAGCTATGGAAGTGGGAGGCTACCATTTTGAATTACTTGGTTTGATTTAGAGCTATAATTATCTTTTATAGTTTATGCTAACAAAAAAAAAAGAAAGTTAATTGCATAGTACGACGGGGTATCTCATATCTAGTATCGATAATCGACAAAGTAAACACGTCATTATTATTATTATCTATATGCATGACTTGTGTTATGATATTTAGATTTTTGAAATATGTGTCTTTGCAAAAACATTTCAATGTTGGCTTTTCTCACTCACCCAAAACAAGCGTGTTCGAATTCATCAGACGATCTAGCATCACTTCAAACAGTGCAATGACAAACTTCCAGAACAACTGTATTCTTAATAAAGGATACAACGCCTTACCGGAGAAGATTAAAACACACAACACCAAAAGCGACCCAACATACCGGTTGTCATCTATCAATTCAGACAGCTGCTGTCTGTGTACCATACCAAATTTAAACTTCACCATTTAGAAGCCCATTAACAAAATGAGACACGACGTGTTATTTCTCACTAGAACTTTACTAATAGTTATCTATCATACTTACCCCCGGCTCTGGACAGTCCTCAATACTTCCGGCTATGTAATCCATATTACGAGTGAGCGCACTGCCGTTGTAACACATGTGGATATTTTCTGTAAAACGTTGTTCTATTTCAGTCAGAGGGTAGACGCATATAGCAGAGTGAGCGGAAGAGAGCGTAGTATGATCGGCACTGGCTGTAAAAACCCCGATAAAGACATCGGACCCCGTTTCTATTTGGAGAACTGCTGCAAGATGAGAACTTGCTGGACCCACTACGGCATCCTGGAGCAAATTGAAGTCCGTGCCGTCCTGACTAACACATTGTAAAGTCACTTCGGTATAGGTATCGTACCCTGCATCGGAGACGCATACTCGGCTAAGCCTGGTTACGAAGCCCCACTCCTCCAGCGCCCTCAGGTGGGACTTTCTCTGCACGGTGGCGAAATAAATAAAATCTCCAGAATGGAAGCCGTAGATGTAGCTAACCAAATAATAGTCTCTTAGGTGAAAACTAATATCTACTCTGGCTATTGTCGAAAAAGAGTTTTCTATGATCCCAAAGAGACGGCCCTCATCTCCCTCAAGACTCCTACTAGTAATGGCAGGGACCATGTCACGATAGGGACCTAGGCGGCTGTTAGTTGTCGCCACATACAGAACCCTGGAAGGGTAACCAAAATATCGAGCAGGTCCGATAAATGCGTAGGTAGAAGAATTCTCGTCATTGGCTGCTACTGGAACAGGGACCAGCTCCTCACTACTAGTAATGTTTCCAAGCTGATGACGACGACAAGCTCCTTGGTGCACACTACCACACACAATTAATTTGTTAGCCTGACTGTCGATTACGAGGGCTTTATTGATGTTAGTGATGTCCACTTTCTTCTGGTGAGGACAGTCTGTAGGGGAACATTGGATGCTGTCCTTAACAGGTCCTGTTCTGACCTCCATCTCCAACTCCAGAGAGCTATTGAACTGATAAAGCCAGTTGGTTGCACCTACATACACTCGCCCCGTGTCAGGATCTACTGCCAGGTGCGTGAAATTCACACTCTCATTGAAAGTTGTATACGACGCATAGATACTAAAGTCCTCTTGGGCAGTTACGGTCCACACAACATTTAGAAATACAAGCCACACTGACCACATAACACAGACAACAATACTATGTGTCCGTCTCATACTGCACTGTAAAGTGTTTTTTCGATGTCCTTCTTCTTGAAAGTCCCATGACGTATAACCCACTCCACCAGGGTACGACGTCAACTTCGGAAATAAACTCCAAGTCGGTCCTCTTGTAACAGTCCAGTCCATTCTTCTTGGCTTGCAGTCTTTAGTTACTACCCGAGGTCTATCATTCCCTGCAAGGAGAAAGTAGTTATTTTTTCTTCTTAAAAATCGAACATAAACTAACATTAACCTATACCGACGCAAGTTCATATAATTGACCAAAACAAATCAGAATGAATACATATTTTAGTGAAAGCCTTGCCTGAAGCAGAGAAAACTTCAAACTCACCACAATATAACTTTAATTAAACTGGGGCAAATGATAGTACCTTCTGATGCTATAAAATCAATTAGTTTGTTTGTTTCGAATTTCGCGCAAAGATACACGAGGGCTATCTGCGCTATTAAGATTAGTCATCAGCATCCAACTCATTTACCAACGGATAGTGGGATTGACCGTCACATTATAACGCCCCCACGTCCCACCAAACACATAATCAAGCGAACTAACCATCTGGCCATGCCGGCCATATAAAATGAACCGTATCGCGGTCACAACCTAGGAGGGTCAGGTGCAATTTACAATGTAATAGAATGAATGTAATACAATAACATTTAGTGCTTCATTACCACTTTGTTTCATTTGGTCATGTATGACACATCTCGAACTCTTTCCACAAGGTTAATATATTGAGTACGTATTACACATACAGGAGAAGGGTTTGTCAACTGTTCATTTTTTGAATTTCGCGCAAAGCTAGTCGAGGGCCATCTGCACTAGCCGACCCTAATTTCGAAGTGATAGACTAGAAAGAAGGCCGCTAGTGAACACCACCTACCGCCAATTACTGGGCTACTCTTTACCGTGGCTAAAAGGGTAAGAATGTTCGGTGACGTCAAACGCCCTAACCACCAGGCCTTTGTCAACTGAAAAGAGACGAGAGATTAAGAGCTCGACGCAGAGAACATGAAACAGGCCTTATTTTTCAAATTTATATCAATTTCGTCACATTTTAATTAACGTGCGAGGAGAGAGAATTAAGTACGATGAAAAAAGCTTCCGTAACTTCTGGAAGCTTGTTTGTTTTGAATTTCGCGCAAAGCGACACGAGGGCTATCTGCGCTAGCCGTCCCTAATTTAGCAGTGTAAGACTAGAGGGAAGGCAGCTAGCTAGTCATCACCACCCACCGCCAACTCTTGGGCTATTCTTTTACCAACGAATAGTGGGCTTTACCGTCACATTATAAGGCCCCCACGGCTGAAAGGGGCGAGCATGTTTGGTGTAACGGGGATTCGAACCCGCGAGTAGAGCGCCCTAATCACCTGGCCATGCCGGACTCTTCTGGAAGAGATGTAATTCGGTTTAAAAACACTAGTTGTACGTAATGTCATTTTCAAACATACATAACGATATCTGAATCAGAATTAACGAGGAATCAACTATAAGCTTTTGAAATTGACAGGCTCAGCACATTTTTAAAGCTTTGCATTCAGCTATTTGGTAGCCAAAGTGGTAAATTACGTAATAAAACAAACGCGAATAAAACCAGGAACGGGATCTCATAAACAAATTACGCCTGTGATAAATTAAACTTCAATCTCATAAACAAATTACACCTCTAATAAATCTTTATTAGTATTTAGAAGCCACGTTGAAATTTTCATTATCCTAACATGCTCTTCTCAAACCAGAAAATGTATGATTGTTTATTTTTTGCTTCAATTTTCAATGCATTATAAAAGATTAGCGCCGCTAACAATCACAAAGAGATTGAAATAATATGTGGGGATATGATTATTGCTTTTGAAAATTATATTTAACATAACCTTCTGTTGGTGGCATTAAACGAACCAGAGAAACTTAGGCGATGTATTATTAAACAGATACTCTAGGTTAACGTATATCGTATATTGTTAAAATTTTATCGTAAAGGACAAGACTAAACGGAAGGGAAGAAATGACATAATGATATATTATTTCGCTTATCTACTGTCAGTTAAATCTTTCTTCAACATTCAGAGTAACTGACCCTTTTTAAAGAGTAAATAAAAGAATAAAGAGTTGAAGATGTCACAAATAAAGTGACTTATGGCTTTCACTCAGTGACAGGGACGAGGCACAAAGCCAGAGCTACAATTCGACAAACACATTGACGAATTCACTCTATTTTTTTTTTATCATCGTATGTTTACAAGCAGCATAAATAGTCTTGACTTCTTTTTCTAACTATTCATAAAGTTATCGTGGAATTTTGTTCCGTACAAATTAAAGAAAAAAATACAAGACGAAATATATTCGATAGAGCTAATTTGTTTGAGATATTCGAAAACTGAGCTAACAAACTTGCTGATTTTTTGTTAACATGTTCTCTAAGAGCTACACAAGGGCTATACGTGTGTCCTAGTTCTCCCTAATTTTCGTCTGATAGACTAGAGCAATGTTTCTCACACGGTGAGTCGCGAGCTGTCTGCACTGAGTCAACATTTTTATTTTATTTTCTGAGTCCTCGAGGTGCACATATCATATTTGTTATGAACTATGACAAACTGCGCCAAGAAACATCAAAAAAAGTTTTTCATCCTTGGAGAGATAAGTCGGGGGGGGGGGGGGGGTTAGCTACGACCAAAGCACGGATGCGGGGATCGCCTGGCAAATCCGGCTGAGAAACACGGGACTAGAGGGAAAAGCAGCTAATAACCAGCAGCAATCACCAACTCTTGCAGGGCAGTCAGAGGTTGGAGAGTCGAGATTCCCTCAGGGCACTCACAGGTTGGGGAATCGAGATTCCCTGACCATCATTTTCGTATCAGATTATAGAGAAATTATTGGTTATTTCACAGAAATGTGCAAATGTTATTCCATTCCTTCACACAAAGCAAAATAATTATACACTAAAAGCCTAATAAACAGTATTACTGTCCTTCATAATGACAATGGATTTTAAACATTTCAGCATAACTGATTTGCAATAATGAATAAGAAAACTGCCTTAGCCATATACATTAAGTAAAAGACATTTGCACCTGATTGGTGGTATAAAATTCCCCGATTTTCCCCTAACCTGTGGGAACCCTGTTTTAGGCTACTCTATTCAAACAGCAGGATTTGACAGTAGCTCTTATAATGCACCCATGGCTCCACATTGCAGAGCGCGATTTTGCGACAACAGAATGTGAACCACGAACTCTCGGATTCGCAATCGAACGAGCTAACTGCTAGCCCTACGTACGTCCCACATGTTGAATATCTTTATCGAATAAGCTTTTATTTTGTGATGAAAGTGACGATTAGCAGTCAGTATTTTTCAGTCAAACTCTGTTACGTTCTCTTAATCATTAAAGTTGCTAATATACGGTTTTCTTTTTCCTTCATAAGCAAATGAAAATGAACTAGTTTATCTTAACTGTTTTGTTTTTTAAGTTTTGAAAAACCAGAAAACTGGACTTCAGCCACAGAAATATATTAAAGGACTACAGATTAGTTAATAACTTCATGAGCTTAAGAAAGTATTCAAGTAAACGTGAGAAATTTACAAACTGGTTGCAAAGGTAAAAGAATAAAAACCAATTGAATCAGAACAGAATTCATTACGAAATACAATTAGTCAACATAATCCATAGCTTTTCTCTTAGGCTTTTGTCAACTCAAGTTCGGGTGACGGATTAGAGGAGATGGGTACAATTGCCCCCCCCCCCGAATTGAAGGACCCCCCCAACTTAAATAATAATTAGTCAAATAGTCTTACTGAAAAACGTGTTTACAACTGTGTCACTATGACAACAGTGATTTTAATCGTTTCGTATAAATCTATTGTTTTGTAATTTTTCATTAAAATGTTCTTACAGCTTGTTCTTTCATAAATATTTGTTCGGTCATTAAAAAAAATTCGTTGTCATAATTTTATATTTATTATAAATAATAGAATTAGTATTTTGCATATTAGTTAACCATCATTTGTGTTTCTGTCTTGCCCAAACTCTAAACATCTAATAATGTTGAACTGTATTTGATTTGTTTATGAAGTTCAGTACCGAGCCTCCTACAAAATTTGCCTTGGGGCCACCAAATCCTTCATTTGGCCTTCTTGTTCAAGATACTTATAGGAATTAGAGCTTTCAACCTAAATGACAACTTACGCGCACGTGCACTAAACGGCCAGATAAGAGGACCCTGGGTTTCAGACACAGCCGTTCCTAATTTTGAATTACTGACCAGAGGGATAGCAGCCACCAGCAGCATCCGCCACCATAAGGGCTTCTTTGATTTTTTGAATCGAATAACAAGATTGACTGAAATTTTTATCACGCGCCTACAGCTGCAAGTACGAAGTGTGTTTATTAACGTCACGTCTCGAACCTTGGACTCTTCAAGCCCACGTTTACCACTTAAAAAGGTAAATTAGGAAATGGGAAAAGGCTTATGAGAAACAGCTGGCTGATAATGTAAAATCTAAGAACAAGAAACTTATAAGTTTTTATAAGAACGTATGAGTGAAATTATAGAAGATTGTCAACCACACTATATTATCTGCCATATAAAATGCCAACGAGGACTTTCGCCCGCTACCAGAGCTCATCATGCCAACTAGCAT